GACATATCAGTTTATTCTCTTTTGCAACTGCTCTGTTGGATCTTTTTCCCTTGACTTTCCAAATTGCTCCCTCTCTAGGATTTTCAGTCCCTGGATGGCTTTCTCTTACAGTTTTGTGACATGACACCTTGCCTACAATATTTTCAACATGAAAAATAATGTCAGTTATCCATTATTAAACTGAAATGCTGGTTTATACACCAGACATTGGACCTGACTGCTTTATAATGGCGTCCATCAGGAGCATCACTACAGGTTTATGGATAGGGGGCTAAATCTGTATTAGGGGGTCCTGGGGCATGGCCCTAAAATGTTCATCATGAACTTAGAGTAGGAACAGGCAGAAAATGTATCATGGCTATTTGGTCAAATAGTACACCTGTCTCTTCATAGTTTGTATTAGGCACAGAGCTACTATGCCTTAAACACTGTATCCATCCACTTGCAACAGACACAAAGCAAGCAAATGTACTAAAGTCAAGCAATGTTATCTCCTCTTTTAGATAAGCTGCAAGGTCCTAAATATATTATTCAAAAACACATATCATAGATCAGTCTCGGTGCAATTAGAAACGGTGTGATTTGGCTCTATAGGCATGTTTAATAAGCTAGGTGACAATTTCATGGTCAGTGACAAATATATTTTTCTCAGCTAAGCTCAATTAAATTCAGTATTAATTTTAACTGAAAGAAAAACTCTCCTTCGCTTTCTTCTTGATCACTTACCTCTATCAGATCTGCTCCTTCAGTCCTGTCAGTCTCCTCCAGCTTCTTTCTTCTCCCTTTCGTCCTGTGTTTAGTAATAAATATATTTTATTAAACTCTGACTAACTAGGACAAAACCAGAGATCAAGCAATTCAACTTTGTGTTTTAACTGGTAAATATTTTCATATCTGTCTGGTCATCGACAGAGCTGTTGCCTCTTAATGTCCATCTAAAGGTTGAGGGCTTGAGGGATATAACATTGTATGATGATCAACACTATGACATTTTCACTGACATTAACTTACTGTAAACAACAGTACATGACAAACACTGGTGTCACTGTTTCCAAATAGTGAGGAGAAATATAAAAACAAAGAATATAAAGAGCTGTCGATCTCTCTCGCTTGTTCACACTCATACTCTCACAGTGAAACTAAACCAGTTGGCCTGTCAGTTAGCTAATGTTAGTGTTAGCCTAATGGCTTTTCTTTGCCTCATATAAACTCAAAGTTAGCTATCTAGCTAGTTAACCTAACAAACAACCAAGTAAAAACCCAATAGCAGATATACTGACCATAACTTATTACATATCCATATTGTAGGTGGGTATATTCACTCTAACTACTGTTTCACTCTATATATTACAGATTTTGAGAATGAGAATAAACTATAGATGATTTGAGCTAGTTAGCAAGTAATGTAACTAACGTTAAATGTATATGGGAAGAAGGGACTAAATAACATTTAGAGGGGGCTCAAGTCCCTCTAAAACTGGCCTAGCGACACCCATGGGGTCTGTTGAACCACTGGCTCAACTTACTCCAGAACATTTGTCTTATTTTACCCCACAGCCACCATTTTGGCCTTCAGTTATGGATAAAAACTCATAAACTCTGCCAAAACACGAGGAAAAAACCTACCTGTACAATAACGCTACCAAGCGCTGGCGTCCCCGCTGGATTCTAGTAGTTAGCTAGTTAGTAAGCTAACGGCAATTCGCATGAACATTTTTGGCCGTTCTAGGTTAAAAACAGACATTTGAAGCTTCTAAAAGACATTGTTTGTTTTGCTTTAAGTTTGTGACATACATATTATTATTTACTGTACCTTGCAGTAACTTCGCAGTGACTCTTTCTTCCAGCAGAGAGCTCCGGTACTGAGCTGCCGCTGCTGCTCTTCTTTTCTAACAACCCGCTGACTTGGCTGCTGCTCATATTCACAGTCAGTGACGTATCAGGAAGGCCAAGCGTGACCTACCTCACAAAATTGGTCCCGCCTCTTGGACATCATGATTGGTTGATTCCTTTGTCACTTTATAATTAAGCTGCTGGTAAATCTAACGTGTTATGGAATTCATTTAACTCTTTAAAGGGGAACGCCATCGATTTTTCAAAAATTCAACATAATTAAATCGTTGCAATATAAACAAAGTCATTCATTGTGGTTTGGTGTGAAGTGCTCCGTTCTAGAGAAACATGCCAAATCAGAATTGTTCACATTGGTGGTGAGAGGAAGCAGACGTCCACCTCTAAAAGCTCCCTCAAGGTGGTATTACATGAAATAATTATGAATAAGCTGCCTGATGTCTGAGACATTGTTTAATGGTAGTTTCTTTCAGAATTATCACTAATTTATCATCATCATTACACATATAAAATCAGAAGACACGTAGGTTCACTGGTGGTTTTGGACAGTAAATAAAATGGCTATTTGTCTTGCAGACTATGTGACCCCTGGTTCCTATCACCACCACTGTAAAGAAATCTGAGTTTTCTCTATAATGGGCCTCTTTACATCAATCCTCTCTGAAAGACTGTTTACATCTCAAGAAATGAATTATTCAGAAGTTTTGAAAAATTGGCAGAATTCCCCTTTAAGTCTTAATCAATAGGAGAGCTCACTTGGCTATATGGCTAAATCTACCTAGATAACAAGGAGAAAAACAATTAGTTACTGATTAGCCAATTTTCTGCTGGACATTTCAAGAACTTAACCCTCTTGTTTCCATCTAAACTTCACAACAGAAAGAGCGGTACTGCAATATATGCAGAGTTTAAATACAAGCATTTCTATTCTATTGAGCTAATAATTACATACATGTATTCTTTAGTTCCCAGAAACCATTAGGCCTAGAACGCCCTGAGGGATCCCCTCTGCTGTAACGCAATAAAATTTACATTTACATAAAAGCAAACAGCAAAAAAAGCACAGTCTGATATAATTTATGCTCCCTGAATACATAGTCGCATGACAAAAACTGTGCTCAGATCCCTGATTACAAGGGTTGGGTCAACCTACTCCACTCTCCCCTGTGGAACTGTGCATGTTTAATAAAAAAAAGTGCTTCTCAGAGCCTAATGTTCCCCGGGCTGAGAAAACTCTCTTTGCACTCAGTGAATTCACACACTGTTCAGATATTGTGACATCCATGTGGCCAACCAAGTAAACCGTGAAAAAAAGGACTGCCACTAAATGTTGCGGATTTGGTGCTGTTTGCACTACCAGCTAAACAGGACTCAGGACTGCTCGCTTATGTGCAACAACAACGAACTTAATTTGAAGGGTTTTGAATGAAACTGTATTTCAGATCCAAGCAAATATCACTCAAAAATTTCACAGGAGCTTTTTTCATTATTGTTATAGTACAAAATACATTCAATACAGAAGCTTCTCAAATGAACAAAAAAAACTTTGCAACAACAAAAAAAAAAAGACAAGCAACAACACAAAATCATATTAACGTAGGAAAAATGCATTTAAAAAAAGTATTTTTAATGTGTTTTTACATTAAACATATCTTGCATGGGCCAAGAGTCTTAATGCTAAGTCTTATTGTGTTTGTTTTAATCTGCATACTTGGTATAAAAATGTCAAGGCATTTTAACTCTGTTTAAAAAAAAAAAAGCAAACCAAACAAATGAATACAAATTCAGAAAGCTTTGTAAATAGAATTTTCCATCAGTCAGAGTTATGTAACTGATCCGATTTACTCTGAAGAAAACTCATCGTCCACTGTAAACTAGTTTTTTGAAGGTCTTTTTTCTTTTCGGTCCTCATAAAGGATGAGATCCACCACACAAATCAAATAATTCATACTTATCTACACATACAACTTTTTCACTGTGTGAAAAACATTGTTTTATTCTTTTACTTTGCATAACAGTTGCATCTTTACAAACTCTTTTCACAATGTACATATAACACATACCGGTGACTTCCCTGATGTGGATTAAATCTAGCACTACTTTTTTCTTTATTTTCAAACGTGAATCCCATTTAATTGTGTAAAACAGACAAATATTAGGCTTAATCCAAAATACCAGCATATCAGTTCATATTAGTTCCATCCAACTGTGCTGTAATCAAGGATTCAGAGCTTTTTGACCATCAGACACTGTGCAGTGGTTTAAAAAGAAAAAAGAAACTGTTCTGATGATCAAAAAGTATGAAGGACCACAGTGAAACCTCTACATCTATGCACTCACACCTGAACCCCACTCGGTCTGTCAGCAGGTGGGGATGTGCCTTGGTATCGTCACTGCAAGAATCAGGGATTACCTTTTGTTTTTTGTTTTTTTTTGTTTTTTTTTACTTTTCCCAGAGACTAAAATTTGTACCATTATAATATCACAAATCCCTCTTTACTAGTGCTACACAGTGCAAATACATTGGTCCAAGTGCTCCAGAAGCACATATTCACATAATATATGTGAGCTTAATGGTCAAACGAGACTTGTTTCTCTTCCATACATATTTGAATGCATTCCATTTGCTGTAATGGCTAAAATGGATTGAAAAACTAGACTCCCAATCTAGACAACTGTGGTTAATCTACAATTCCATCAGTTTTCCAAAAAATTGCATAACTGCATAATTAAATGGTTAAGATGTAAACAAAATCAGAGTGGTTTGAGGTGAAATGCTCCATTCTAGAAAAAACTTATCAACTCAATTGCTCACAGGGGTGATCATAGGAACCAGATGTCTAAAGCATTTAATGCCTCTAGAAGCATTACATTACATTACAGAAAGCTGTTAAAATAAGTGGTGGTAAGTACACTGTCTGATGCCTGAGACATTGTTTTGAGATAAGATTTTGGTCTAAATCATGTCCATTAATGGCGGAGAGGTACATGTAGGATGTTATAAGGCAAAATAGCCCCAAAGAAAACTTTGTTTTTCCAAATTTATCACTTTTTTACCATCATCACTACATACAAAAATTAATTTTGGATAATAAATAAAATGTCTATATCTGCCCTTTGGTTTGTATCACCACCACTGTAAAAAAAAAAATCTGAGTCAGTAATTTTCTCTACAGTGAACCATTTCACACCAAACCTCTCTAAATGAATGTTTACATCTTAGAAATCAGTGGAATTCCCATTTAATTGGTCTTTTGAGACCAGAGCAGGAATTAGTTTGGCATGAATGTGAATATGATTAAAAACGATTTTAAATGAAGCTCCTAAGTCTAGTAGGTCAGTTCCAAAAATCATTCACTTAAGAAATTCTTCTTGTGTGTATTTGTATTAATGGTGAAAAAAAGCATGGAAATGTCTAGCTTTTCTGCCTATCTAAAACAAGCCTCTGAGACACTGTTGTTCCAGTGTAGGGCCCTTCAAATTCTCACTTGGGCTGAAATATTTTTATGTTTCCCTTGATAACGTTGTTCGCCATCACTAAAATGCTTTCACACTCTCATCAAAACACATGGGGATTTTTGGACCTGATCTACTGGGCAAAATGGTTTCATTTGGCTACTGATTCCTGATTTCTCTGTAGGCCAAGGCCTCGATCTTAAGGCACTATCACTATACAGCATTAAAACTGAACATAACATAAGCTCAAATAGCAAACAGCCAAAAATCATGCTTTAAAAAAGAGACTCTGCCATTGGGACTCAGCAACGTTTCTTTCCCAGCAATAGTGGTTACAACAAAATAGATTTTTTTATATACAATGTCATGTTGGGTGACACTTGGCTCCCACTGAGCACTGTCTTTAAACAGCCAAAGCACATTTGATGAGCAATCCAGAACGATTAGCATTCTAAATAAAGCTAAGGTCCAGAGCACCCTGACCCAATGTTCTCCCCAGCGGCAGATGTCGGGCTGGTGCGCCACACTTGTGTGTGATTGTTGGAAGTCTGTAGAATGTTCCTTCCCGTTCACACTGTTCTAGAATATTCTCCACCATTTACACTGTTCTAGATGTTCTCCACCATTCACACTGTTCTAAATAATTCTGCCTCATTCACACAATTTTAGCTCTCCATCATTCACACTGATCTACAACATTCTCCACTATTCACACTGTTCTAGAATATTCTCTTCTGGTTCATTTGGATTGTTAGTTCTTATTCTGGAATTCGTGAAGTTCTGATGTTCGTAAAAACCTGCACATGAAGGACTTCCGGGGTTCTTCTATGCAGCCTGAAAACCACGGTACAGTGCGATTCAAACTAAAACGTTACCTAAAACAAAAAGTGCTGTGTTTGTGGCTGCATGAAAGATTAAGAAAAAAGCTTTGGGTTTTATTTTGGCGGTTTTACATCGACAGTGCTGAATTACAAAACGAGAAGAGGCACTTCGGCATAAAGTTCTACCAGCAAGGTTGTTTCAGTGCTAGGAAACGGATAGACTGTACCAGCATCGTGTTAACATTAACTTTTAAGGTGATTACTGACGTCCCGAATCAGTGGTTTAAGGTGAAACACGCTGTCGTGGATTGTCCGTGCGATTAATACCTTGACATTTGTTTCCTCACAGCACTGCTAGCTTGAAATGAGAAATACAAGTCATAATGGAGAAAGGGGGAGACAGAAAGAGCGAGTGCCAGAGTACTACATTTCTGCATTATCAACATTATAACCTCAGTAGCCAAGTACCTACATGCATCATCAGGATTTGTCCTGTGAAGCTAAGTGCCATCAGTATGTGTGTTTGTTGGTCAATGTTGGGTCAGTGTGCTATGGCCTGACCAGCAGAGGTGGTTACTAACTAGTTATGTTTACTCGGTTACCCAAACTCAAGCGAGGATTTGGTAGGTTCACTGCAGAAAAAGATATTTTGTCAAGTGAAATCATCTTAAATCTAATTGATATATCTAATATTTGTCATTTTGAGATTGAATCTTATAGTCTTACAACTATCTCATAATGGAAAACATTAGATGTATTGACTAAGTTTACGATTGCAGTGTTTGTAATTTCCTGAGTATTTTGAAATGATGATATTTTACTTCTACTCTAGTGGATTTGTGAGGAAAGCAGTCTACTTTACGCAGTTACATTTTAGTCATTAATTTAGTTAATCATCAATTTAGCAATTGTTCACACCTCTTACTTCTGACATTTATTGTTTTATTTTAGACAAAAAAAGAAGAATAGAACCAAATTTCAATTCCTGTATAACGTCTGCTTCAGTTCTATAAGTCACCCAGTAACTTACGTAACTATTAGTTATAAGTAGTTTACTTTAGCTGTTACATTTGTACATTTTACATTCACTTAAGTCATTATTTCACCAATGAGAACTATAATTTTACTTGAGTATGGTTTTAGAATACCCTACCGTCCTCTGCTTAATAGCTTGACTCGGTTATAATCAGAATAATAAGCTATTTAAGACCTACAGTGCTGAAGAGTTCAGCAGGGAGAGTTTGTAAAGCAGGGCTTCAGTAAAGTGCACTCACAACACTCACAGCTGCACAGTAATCCAACTATGCCATCTGTACACACACACACACACACACACACACACACACACACACATAGGTGAAACTGTAGCAACAGAGAATGCTGATATTACAGAACTTATATGAGCTTTTACAAAACAGGTTTGCAGCTGTAAAACCGCCGAACACACAAACACGCATTGCACATTTAATAGCTGCACTAAATACCTGATTAACACATCTTCCTAACACGCTCGCATGCTCTCTTTTTCTGGAATGCACTTCCACCTGTGTCCACTGGAGGCGCCGTGCCGCTGGGTCTCGGCTCTGCTCTTTATGTGTGTGCCACACTCCCACACTCGCTCATTCAACTTCCTGCCACACAGCACAGACAAAAAGCCACAGCCATTCTTCCACAGAACCACAGATATTTTCTCTCCCTCGCTGTCCTTCACTGACAGCTTTCAGTCTTTCTCCGTTCCTCCATCCTCTCTTTCAGACGTGTCTCTTCATGTGCAGAGCCAGATGGTCAGAACGAGAGAAGCACCTAAGCAGAGAAAAGAGAGCAGTAGATCACAGCCATTATAAGCATAGGAGAGCAGAGTTACCTAAAGTTACCTAAACACATACACGTATTTTTCATTCCTGCCAGTTTTCGAACCAGCAGCCCCGCCCCCCCCACACACACACACCTGTCGCAGTGGCTGCATTTGAAGGGCTTTGCCCCGGTGTGTTTTCTGAAGTGTCGAGTGAGCTCATCGCTCCGAGCAAATCGCCACTCGCAGCCGTCCCAAGAACACCTGTATGGCTTCTCACCTGTCAAACACACACATACACATTATACTCAACACCTGTTTTTACCCCTCATACTAATGTACACACACACACACACACACACGCACATGGTTTTTATGACTAGCATCTTCTCTCAAATGACAGCTTACATTAATATAACACCACTATGAATGTTTCAACTGGGCTTAAACTAAAGCCTATTCATAGCCGCTTTATACTAGGGATTTGCACGGGTGCTTGAGTGTTCAATCTGAGGTGCCAATATTTGAATACTGAAATCACTACAAGTATTCATTACGATTCATCACAAGAAGGCCGAGAAAATATACAGACCAAAAATTCAGTGAAAAGCAGATTTTGTTTCAACCACACTGTAAAATGTGAAAGTTTTGCTTGTGTTTGTATGTATGTAATATTTTGCTACTCTAAAACACGAGTGCCTTAGCATGGGGTTGTAACCAAAGATTGATTGTTCAGGATGTGACTGAGAAGTATGTTTAATACAGAAACAGTATTACAGTAACAGTAACATATAAAATTGTATTATAACAAATATGGGTCATATAATTCTAACGAATTAGAATAAACTGCACAGTAAAACAGTCCCACAGTTAAAAAAAAAAATATATATATATATATATATCTATATAAAACATTAGGTATTAGACCTTAGATATTTGCAAGGACTATGATCTACTTAAACCCAAGGCATTAAGAGAGATAGTGATAAAATAAATTTTTCTTAATAACAATCTTTTTTCAATGTTGTTTCTAAAAAGATCATTTCGATTTCTTTTAAAATGCAGTTGAAAGATTTAGATTTATCATGAGTTTAATTTTATTAAAAAAATTCTGTCCCACGTTTTCATCTCCCCACCAAAACACAGTTTTAGTCCATAAGCACAGACCCATTGTTGGCACACCCCTGCATTTTAAACCATTTTACCACATAACGCCCATTTTACATGATAAATACTCAAAATGTGCCCAAAGGCATCAAAATGATTAATGCACTTCACAACATCAGGAGCATTTTGTTGTTTTGTCCTGTTTTTCTTTGTTTTTCCTATAAAATCCGGACATTTTTGTCCTGAATCTGTACACATACATTGATACACTTCCTCACATAGTACCCCTGACCTTCCTGTTTCTCAGGGATGGAGCTGGGAACACTACAGATCTTGTGTATCGCCCCCATGGTTCCCAGAGACTGCATGCTTCTGCAATGAAATTCTATCTGTCCTCATCAACCCCCTTCACTCCACCCTCCCCATCTAAACAAAAACAATCGAGAATGAGGTCACTCTCTGTGAGGAGGCCTCTGCATGCCAGTCATTTCTACCTATCCCCATGCACGAGTGCACACTGCCAGTGGGCAAGAACACAGCAGTGTTCAATGGAACACTAAACAAGTGGCCCGCAGCAGTTTGGAAAAGCTGATTTCTGTTTGATATTGGAATTTATGTGCTGTATGATGTCAAACAACTTTGAGTCCCCCCCCAAGGCTGGAACTGTTGTTATGGCAACCCTGAGTCAACATACAGTTAATCATCAGGCCTTTGAAGCCCCCCGGGAACACATTGTAAAAGAATAAAAATGTTTGTATGGTATTAAAATTAACTGTTATATTAAACATCTAGCAAAGTTTGAATGAAAGAAGCAAGACAGAAATATTATATATATATATATATATATATATATATATATATATATATATATATATATATATATATATATATACACACACACACACACATATATATATATATGCGTATATATATATATATATACATATATATATATATATATATATATATATATATATATATATATATATATATGTAAAATATGATAAACTGAGAACTGTGTGGGCGTGGCCTAATATTCTGAAGGTGCGGCCTTCAGTCAACCACTGCAAGTCCGCTATTCCATTAAAGCAGAATTAAACATACTGTAGACTATCCCCGCTATGTCTATGAGTAAAAACAAACGTTATCCAGCTTTTTTGTAGTGATGATTTAATGCTAGTCAGGCTCTTTTTCAATCGGAGAACAGACCTAATTGACAGCCCAGTTATGCTTGCTAGGTTAGCTTTCGCTTGGTTGTTAGCTTTCTTTCAGTACGTTTCTCTGACTTGAACACAGAGACAGCATAGGGAAACACGGTTTTGTTAAAGCTGTATGTGCAGGACAACCCATATCAGCCTTGTGATTGATGAGGGTACTGCTTACGTACACGTGACCAAAGATAAGGACCACAAAATACACCAGTCATTGGTTGGACATTGGAAGGTTATTCACAGGACATACTTTACACATGTATATTGTGTGCCCACAAGAGCAAGATCAACCTATTCAGAAAGATAGCATGGATTTACGTTCAGGACTCCACACGCTGGACAAATCGGGGGATGACCCACAGTCTCAATAAAAGACCCAGAGCACAAACCTACAGTTGATAATGTGGCTTGAAATTTCACCTCAGCTAATGTTACCAGCCTTTGTATATCGTCACCTTGCACATTTTAGCTCAAAAACAGCAAGATTGCAGAGAGTTAGTTGGCTTATTCCAAACGCGATAAATTCAGTAAATGACATTTAAGGTATTTCATTAAATCCGTACAAGTAGAGTGTTAATTGAGTTTGAGTTTAACCAGCTTTTTGCTGTGACACGTCCTCTGCACTGTAGCTGTGCCTTGTACTATCTGCTGAGTGATGCTTCTCATCTGGTGTGTGGTAGCTTTTAGGCTATGTTCACATTACAAGCCTCATTGCTCAAATCCGATCTCTCTGACACAATGGTTTACACTCATTTAGGTAATTGATTCAAATCTGTCATTAATGAGAAGAAATATCCTGAAATGACCCACATGCGCACATCCTACTCAGTAACGTCACGTGAAAGAATTACGTGCGTCACGTACATCATCAGCAAACAAACTAACAAGCAGAACGAGCCTTCGCTGCAAAGATAATGAACTGTGAACAGCTCTCAGCTTCATTATTAGAGCAAGACGAAGGCGAAAAAGGTGAGATGAAAACATCAGATCTGAGTCACATTAGGGCAAAAAAAAAAATCGGATTTGTGCTACTTCAACCTGCTAATGTGAGCATAGCCATAGACTGCCGCAGTAGTCTTTCATAGTTCCTTCACTGGACTGAGCAGGGCTGAGTTTCCCGAAAGCATCTTAGCACAAAGATGATTCTTAAATGGTAGAGCAAGCATCACTCTGAACACTCTCTCTACCAGTTAAGATGATCTTAACACTGCTTTTGGGAAACTGGGCCCAGATAAGATATACTCTGACCAAAATATAAGATGCCGACTCTACACTGCCCTCTGGTGGAGCATGGAATTCAGACACTTCATGAGATTGTGTGACATTACAGAGAATCTAAAGCGTTCATCAAAAACTCTCTCACCTGTATGTGTGCGCTGGTGTGCTTTTAGATGTGAACTCTTGGTGTACACTTTCCTGCAGCCGTTAAAATGACAGTGATGAACTCTCCTCCGGCCCTCTGCCGACCCTTCACCTTTGACCTCTCCTGCTCCTGACCTCTCTTCATCCCCCGTGACCCCCTTTGTCCTGTGTCCGAGAGAAATAGCCAAAACAGCTTCTGGCGCCGATTCCATGACCGTTTCAGGTGACTGGGGCCGCGGGGAGTGTGTGTGTGTGTTCAGGGGGTCGAGGTCAGTCATGATGTGGCTGAGGGGGTGAGAGAGGAGGTCCGCAGAGGGCGAGAGTTCTTCCCCGCTGTCTGAACCGTCACTGCCCGTATCTGAACCACAGCCGCGGAGCTCCAGAGCCGCCAGGCTGGATTGGTTCTGATTCTTCCCTGGGACAGAGGTTCTCGGCTGGGTCACTGCAGCGCCGGCCTCCCCGCAGCACCGCATCAGCTGCGTCCACAGATCCTCTGACCCACACACTGACCTCAAGTCAGCTGGGGACACGTATGGCTCTCTCTGCAAATAGCGCTCAAGCTCCAGGCATGTCTGACACAGAGAGAGCAAGAATGAGTGAGAGAGAAGAGAGAGAGACATCATAATAGAATGTCATGTCAATATTATATTGTGCATGTAATTACAACATATTTTAGCTCATAAATAGACTCATACATCATGTTATTATATTAAAAGAGATCTTCATAGGAGTTGAGTGGTTCTGTGAGACTGGCTGGTCAGGCACGTTCATTGTATCAACTTAATAAGGTTGTCCACATTAAAGGGGCCAAATCCTACATTTTCTTACATTATATTTTCCCCCTGACGTCCACTTAAGATAAATGGATTAATACACTATGCTTAGGTGCCTAAGACTTTTGCACAGTATGAAAATAGGTTGTTTTGCATGACATTACAAAAAAATAAATAATTAAAAATAAGCCGTTTTTGCAGCCTAGTTTGGACTGTGCAAACTGAGGAGTAAATGGAAACTTTCAGAATTGTTAGGTACTACATCAAACTCTTATTCCAAAAAATGGAAAATGTTGTTTTTCCATTATATGAGCCCTTTAAAGCCTGCAGGGGTTCCACATTTTCCTCATGCACATTTAAATCCCCTCCTCACCAAGAAGACACTCAGCACGTACACCACACACACACACACACACACACACACACACACACACTTCAAAACTACGGGAACTCAAAGCAGCCTAAAACATCATTTTGAGTACGCTCGCTTGCTCTCTCTCTCTCTCTCTCTCTCTCTCACACACACACACACACACACACACACACCTACCGCATGTGTTCACTACCTATCAGAGGATGCATACCTTTCACTCAGTATCTCACACAGAAAGAGAGAGAGTAAGAGAGAGAAGGAGGAAAGAGAGAGACAGAGAGAGAGAGAGAGAGAGAGAGAGGAAGAGTGAGAGAGAAAGAGAGAATCTTGAAAGGGACAAACTGTTCAGATTATAAGTGCGTGCAAACGCTCAGCAAAAGAATTACATCTCTGATGCGTGAGAAGGTCTCATCAACTCCATGCGCTGGCGTAAAATGTAAATAAATGTAAATATATATTAGCGTCGGGCGATACACATTGTCTATATCGGTATATTGTGATATTAACAAACTGTGATATTGTCTGAGATACTTTTAGCAACATATAATACATCGGTGATATAACACCCATAAAATAGCAGTAGACCTGCTGACAGGCCATTATTAATTCTACTTTGCGCTCTTTTTCCTGAACCTGACAGTGTATATCATTCACAGGGTGCTTCAGACGACATTTAAAAAAACAATTTTTAAATAAAAAAATGAATAATGTCCTTTCTTGAGATACATTGAGAAAATTCTGCAAGGGTGGTGTATTTTAAGAGAAGGAAACAATAAAATTGACTGAAAGAAGCTGTCGGGTTTCTAAGGAAGTTAACAAGTACTCAGGAAACATTGGTTCTTTAACTTTATTAGTGCTAACTCAAATATACTACACATACTAATAAACTTTATCAATATCACCCAGCATTAATATCAACTTTTGACACATATGCTCAATTTTAAAAGCTATGATTCAATTCTATAGAGCCAATAACAATAATACAGCAATCTACACTGTAAAGCTAAATTTTCTGTTTTCAGAGCACTGCAAAGTAAATGCGTTTCACAATTCTCCCACTGTTTGTGATCAGAATCGAAAGAGTCAAAAGATCTCATTTACAGCTGAATTTTACAGGGATTGTTATATTTCCCCATCGTATCGCGGTAACATTGGAACCGTCGCCAAATATCGCAATGTTGGAACCTGAAACCATACCGAAGCGCTGCTGACGGTGTTTGTTTTGAGCGGAGTGAGGAGCGCGAGCTCTCTAACGGTCCTGCGCGCGCTCGCTCACTCTCTCACAGCCACAACACAACCAGAACTGTCAAACCAGCTAACGAGGCTGAGTTCAGCGTCTTTTTCGGCAGCTTCTTGTTCGAATTTTTCCGTTCCGTTAACTGGTGCAGAAGTTAATTCTGGCGCCGTTTAAGGTGGAATGAGAAAATTCGAATAAGAAGCTGGCGAATAGGAAGCCAACTTCAAACTACCGTCTCACTTCATTCGCTCATAGCATATCCGCCTGTCCTCTCTAACGAGTCTCCTCATTCTGGCTTTGTTTACAACGATTCAGCGGCCGCCACAGACGGTGCTAACAGTTAACAGCAGCCTTAACGTTACCTGCTGCCAGTTCTCCTCCAGCGAGGGCAGCGCGGAGAAGTAGCCCGTGTCGTGGACGGTCTGGAGCTCCTGGAAGATGCTGCACATGGGAATAACATCCATCTCGGGATCAAGTGACAGAGATGTCGAAGTCGAAGTGTGAAAGCACAGCCCGGGAGTCACTTATTTCCACATAGGAGTCGGCGAGAGGTCGGATTCGGCTGGAGTTTTGTTGCTGAGAGCGCATATGTTCCCCGTTCAGCGCACTGCTGTAATCCTCGCGTCCGCGCCACAAACTTCCCCATTCAAAATGTTTGTTACAAACTCGGCCACGTGATCGAATGACAAGGCCTCCGCACTGTGACCAATCAGAGCGCTCTGAGCAACGGCCAACCCGCCGCTGCACTTTCGACCAATGGCGTGAGGCATTTCGGGCTCAGCTCGACTGTGATTGGCGGAGGCAAATCGAGACGCCTTCTCTCCTATTGGTCCACGAGAGCTCTATTTTAGGAGCGGTATATAAACACCAGAGCGCTTCCTCTGCTAGCTTGGATATTTTGAGCAGACGTTGGCGAGAACGAACCGTGCCAGGCTTATTTGGTATGACTGGACTCGATACTGAGATAAATAGTATCTGTTATTAATCTAATGAATTAGAAACTCATATTTGGGTGAATTTCACACTCCTTCTCACAAAACCTCCGCCTCTGTGTGCTCATTAGTTCCTGAGGAGAGTTAACTGACAGACGCGTCGCCACAAACCTGACAAAAGCTGTCAGTAAGAGACTAAAACTTTTAGAGAGTAAGATTAAAAAGATACACCATCATCCTAAAGCAAGAAGCAGATAAACCTAAACGTAAATTCTGCAAGGTATACTTCAAAAAGGTCTATATCACAATCACATATGAACAAGTGTATTGGAATATTAGCCATACACTCTTTAAAAAGATGCTTTTTAGTAAAAACAGTGGTTCTATATAGATTGGCTCTTCAGACTGATGGAGAATATGCTGAATATGAAATGGTTGAAAAATGTTCTATGTAGCACCAAAAAAGGTTCTTCTAGTGCTATGATGTCAAGCTTGTAACAAAAGCAGAACCATTGTTGGTGCTATATAGAACCATTTTCAAAAAGGTTCTTTATAGGACCATGTAAAACACATTCTTCACCAATCTGAAGAGCCATTTCACCATTCAAAGAATCATGTAATCATGCAAATGGTTTTTTGACTGTTTGTGGTACTACACAAAACCACTGTCTTTACTAAAGAACCCTTGAAGAACCATCTTTTTAAGAGTAATACTGCACTGTTGTTGCCAGCACATGCAGCAGAAACAAAGTACCTGTGATTAGGGTTACATTTGCAAATCAAATGAATAAAATGCAGTGACAGTGCTGATACTGTAAGTGTAGCAGTTTTTACTGTTACTGCTATAAATACATGCACGCACACACACACTTATGTGTTATTCTCGGCTGGGTGATGACTCATTCTCTCTGTAATGTTTATCTGCTGCTGGTTTTGCAGACTTCTGGGTGACTGAATGAGTCACATGGACACAAACAGCCAGTGGATAAACACATGTGTGCAGCTTTGTATGAATGAGCACCAAAAGAATTGTATTAAAGAAGTCATGAATGATAAAGCATGGCCTGAAAGTAGCATTGATGCCGGTGTAACTTTTCACTGAAAGCAAGTTTCACTTTGAGTCATAACATCTTTTGTAAGCACGCTCTGCAGAATGGTCAGGCCAACTGGTTCAGTTTAGGGTGAAGTCCAATTCCACAGTACCTCAAAGGAAGCTCACTAATGACAACCACTGAAAAGACCTTGATAGTTGGCATGAGTGCCACCAAGTGTGTCATTATGCGCTTGTGTGTTTGTGAATGTTTATATAAATTGTGTGTGAATAGTCTCAGTGGAATGCACCCACGTCTGTGATTGGTTCAGTCTAATTTGTTCCATGAGTAGAGTCCCAGGCTCTGATTGGGCACAGGGGAAAGCAAGCAGAGAGTTTGGCAGCACCCCACTTCACAGACCGCATTATGTAACAGATACACATTCGCACACACACACAAAGGCATGCGTATACTTGCAAAGATGCTAGCGTTAGTATTCACATGCCACAACTTGACCAAGAGAAGTTTAGTCTAACGTTGGAACTTTGAAACTCTGTATGTGTGTGGATGGGCTGTTTGGGCGTTGTTTGTATGTGTGGGATTGTGACTGTGTAGATGCAGAGAGTCTCTGAAAGACATGCGAAAGTGAAAATGCCAACTTGACGACTGACATTGCCCCAGTGTTGTTGCCATGCCCCAACACCATGAATACAGCACAAGCAAAATAAATAAACAACAAAGGTATCTGAATCTGAAATCTGCCCCCTTGCAAAAGGGGATTTAAATCAGACAAAAACAAAAAACAATCCCTTTATTTAAAATGTTACAGAAATGCATTTGATTTGAAGCGAATGTAAACAATTACTTGGAACATTAAAAAAGGGCCTAAATCTGTGGGGGTGGGGGGCAATCAGCTTGGTTGGACTGTCAATTAAACCAAAGCTCCACAAAAGAATGGTCTTTATAGGTGCACTTTATGTCCAAAAGTATCCAGACACCCCTTAAAACAGAACAAAATTATATATATAAAATAATAAAATAAAAAGCCTGGAGACGAGCCGGGGTGTGTGGAGTCAATACAGCTTAGAAAATATAATTTTGATGGATTATTGTACAGTTATGTTCCCTGACTAAGATGTACCCTTGAGGGTACTACCCTGGTTACAAAAGGGGTCCTGCCCCAGTTTCGCACCTTTCTTCTGAGAGTGTAGAAAAGCAATGCCAATAGAATAGGGTGCTCTGGAGCACCTGCATATGGTTACTATGCCCAATGCCAAGCATCAGCTAGAGGGATATAAAGCCCCCCAGCATTGGACTGTGCAGCAGTGGAACTGTGTTCTCTGGAGTGATGGAGCTCCATCCAATACAGTTGGTATGAGCTGGGGTGATGTTTGTGATCCAGAACTAATCATCCAACATCAGTGCCTGACCTCACTAATGCTCTTGTGGCTGCAATTATGCTCACAGCAGAGTTCCAACATCAATTGTAAAGCCTTCCCAGAAGAGTAAAGGCTGTTACTGCAGTAAAGGGGAACAAAATCCTTATTAATACCCTTGATTTCAGAAGAAACGGATACGCATTGGATGTTGGATAGTGAATTTCAGAATTCAGGCAGGAGTTTTTTTAGTTTTGTCTTGCCAGAAATAAGAAACAGGCTGACATCCAATCAAGCAGAAGTGTCTGACTGAGTGAATGAATGAATGAATGAGTGAATAGCTACATGCGATGGCCTTTATTTCTACAGCTAAATTGGCAGAATCTCTCTCTGGAGCAGGACTTGCAGAGAGGCACATTCCCTCCTTTCAGACACTCTAAATTCATTTCTGTCTGCTTATAAAACACTGACTCACAAACAGAAGGAATGGATCATTTCATATAATCACACACTTCTTCATTTTTTCCTTTTCCTCTGAAATACACTCTGTCTACTTTTACCCTGATTTCTTTTCCTGCAGTGTCTAAGTGTGTGTGTGTGTGTGCTGTAGTAGTAGGAGTATCTCTCCCAGCTCTGTCTGAACTTGTCTATTACATAATGCATGTCTCTAATGTGAGATGAAAATATTGCATGAAAGAACTGCAGGTTGGGTTTAGATGCCTGATAGAGCCATCTCAGATAGCAAATCTTTGATTGAAACAGTGTTGTTTTGATGTTGGGCAACACCGTTGAATCAACAAAGATCTCTGATGTTGAATTTGCATTGATGTTGCTTGTTATATGTCTATTGATTTAACATTAGAAAATCAACCATGCTGATTCTTCACCGAATCTATTGGACCAAGGTCAGGCTCAAGAACATTTATCCAGAAATTCCCACTCTGTGATCGTTGCCATTCAGCTTCAGCCTCTCTAATTCATATGCTCTGGTTTTGTACATGTTGTTATGGGTCTGAAATTTTTTCCGCAATATCAGAGGTTTTGAATATGCAATGCAAACCTAATGCAGTTACAGCACTGTTTGGAATTCATCCCCTTACAGAAGCAATCCCAGTCCAATTTTGTGGCATTTCTGACCCTTTTTGGTCAGACGCCTTATCGTGCTAAATCGAAAGCCACCTGCTTCCCCAACTCATTCACTTTGGATTAAGGATACACTTCATCATGCTACCCTTGAACGCATTCCATTTACTTTAAGAGGCTCTTAAAGATTTAATGAAATATGGCCACCATTTTTTACCTGTATGACAAAGCTTTCCAACTTTACTGTCTCTGAGTAAGATTGAATAATTGGACCAGTGTGTGGACTGCATCTGATAAGCTATATAGAACATGTTCATTCGTACCAGGACCCAGACTTAGCTGATAATGAGTACTTGGTTGCATGTTTATTAAACACAATAAAAAGATTTCATAAAAAAAAGAAAATTAAACATGTTGAACATTACTCCAACGTTGATTCAACAGCACCCACCGATGATTGTTTAGGTGTTGACCTAATCTCAAAACAGTGTTGCATCTGTGCTTTTGCAATATTGAAAGCATATTAAATTCAGTTCAGCATTTACAAAACATAACACACTTTACTGTTTTTAGGCATTTAGTAGAAAATCTAATGCAGATCTGGATACCATGCGGATGTGCGCCACTTCTGGCAAACATATGGCACCGCTGGCCCACTGTTGGCACTGGCAAACAAGAGGCAAAATTGGCCCACATTAAAGCATGCTTATTTGGCCCACATGTCTTAATACAGATCTGAGCCATTTCTGGCAGAGATATGGCAGTATTTTGGCCTGTGCAACATTTTTTTGTTAACTGAAAAAAAATAATGAGGTAGTCCAACACAGTCTGCCTCAATATTAGGAACACTACTAAATAATTAAAGTGTCTTTTTTGTCTTTTTTGTCTATTTTGCATACATTGCAAAAAATATTTTTGATAAATAAATTTTGAATATATTTTTTCATATGGGTCATAAAATCAGCCTGTTTTTGCATTGAAGTCAGGTTTATTAACTTTTGATCCTTCCTTCAGTAAGTGGCTTCATGAGGAGCCACCTGGGACAGTTTTAAACAGAAATAATAATAATAATAATAATAATAATAATAATAATAACAATAAAACGTTTAAATGTTCACTTTGGAAATATCTTTACACATTGGCACGGTCTGCACTATTTACCTGTTTGTTTAGGTAACAACTTTTCAAGCAGGTATATTCCTGTAGATCAAAATGTCTTTATGAAAATATGTGA